AAACCTGCATATGTGCCGTTCCTACTAGTCTTAGGTACAGCATAACCGCCTTACTGTCCCAACCCCCAATTGCTCTTATTTGGGTGAGTGATAGACCAGCTTCCATAGCTGCAGTTGCTCCTCCTATTCTAATACTATGCGCAGTATAGCGGCCTTCTAATCCTGAATGTTTGGCAAGCCTTTTGACAATAGCTCCAATCGCACCTACTGTAAGCTGCTTGCCTTGTTTTGAAAGGAAAAGGTGTGAGTTTCCTAATGAATTTGGTCTCACAGACATATACCACTTCAATAATCTCACAGGGCAGTAGGGACTATCTATGCGCTCAACAGGAATAAACTTTCCATTAGAGAACTGATCTGTCTTTGACGAACCTATTCTGATCCAACATATATTTCCCTTAAATCTGACATCATTTAGCCTCAATCGGCAAAGCTCTCCTGGGCGTCTCATAGTTCTCAGGCCTACAGCTACTAATGCTGCATCTCTTATCCAGAATCTTTTATCCACATAAGGTGGTCTATTGTTAACAAAATTTCTTAAGGCTAAGATAGGGAGAGGGTCGCGTGGCCACTCAGGGTCTCGATCCTTTCTGTATTCTTTCAATAGGGCTCTAAAAATTGTTTTAACTTTATACTCCTTAGAAGGGTCTGGGAGATGGGCCTTCAAATGTTCTCTCGATACTGCAGCTAGAATATCTGTGCACTTAACAAAGGCATGAGTTAAGTCTAGCCATACAAGGCAAGAGATAAGAGTATCCGCTGAAGCAGGAAGAACCTTTTGCTTAGAGATTTTACAAAAACTAATAAATATTTTCCAAGCTTTGTCCAAGCGATTATTCCAACCTTTAGAAAAAGCTTTACTAAATAAAGACTGTCCTCTAATCAATAACTTGCTAATTAATTTATTCTTATCGCCAGAAAATGCCAATTCAGGTTTTTCCATGGTTCTACCTCTCCTGATGGCCTTTTTATAAATGTGATTTGTGGTGGTGGGAGTACTAATCTGTCGACCTGTAAGTGGATTAGTGTTGGCCACCACTCTGCAGAGACCCATAAAGGGACTATTATTGTTGCAGAAAATCTTCCTTCTACTATGTGGTGAAGTACTCGGTGAATTAGGCCTAGAGGAGGACAAACATAATTGTTTTCATTTGACCAATCTTGGGTAAAACAATTTACTCCTTCTGAACCTGGACAATAGAATCGGCTGTTGAAACGTAATAGCTTTGTATTCTGATGGTCTGCCATTCTGTCCACAGAATGTGGTCCCCATTTTCTGTTTATCAAATTGAACACAGATTGATCTAGGCTCCAATCGGCTGTATCTATATACCTGGTTAATGAATCGGCTGGATTGATCTGTGTAGGAACCCAATGAGTTTCGTTGATCCAAATGTCGAACTTGTCTAGCAACATCCATAGCCTTCTTAGTAAATTCTTTTGCCATGGTAATCGGCCTCCCTTTATTACTGTACTGATTGCTGCCCGATTGTCTATATGTAGGTCCACCCATGAGTGAGCTAGCAGACTTGCAAAAGAACTTATTCCAAGTAACACTGCTTCTGCCTCGAGTCTTGTGATTTCTCTGAATGACTTTTTTGTATTCCAGTTTCCGAATGCCTGATGGTTGTTGAATACTGCTGACCATCCCACTGTTGAAGCGTCTATAAAAACAGTTTTTATTTTTGATGGCTTCCAGGCTGGGCGCCCGTTGTACTTTTCTAAATTTATTACTAACCATTTTGCATCTTTCTTTGCTTGCTTTGATAGTGTAATCATTGAGTCCCATTGCCAATGCTTTCTGCTTGCTGTGTCTATTAGGGAGTAAAACTCTAAACAGCGAACCTTTGTATGTGCAAATGCCCTGTTGAGTGACTGAATTTTTCCTGTAACAACTGCTAATTGCCGTGCTGGGATTTTTTCTTTTCTTATAAGGTCCTCTAATAGTGATTTTGTTACACGTATCTTGTCTTCGGGAACAATGACCTGAGCCTTGATTGTATCGATTATTAGGCCATAGAATTTTGGTTGTTGAGTAGGTTCCCAATGACCCTTTGACAATTCTCTCACTAGACCGCATCTTTCTAAATCCAGTTTTATTATACTGTCTCTTATGGATATTAATGTATGGAATGAAGGGTGAGCGACCCAAAAATCGTCTATATAATTTCCACAAAAAATGCCGAGTGACCTCCAATGGCCTACAATAGCCCTCATTACCTTTGAAAAAATCCAAACAGCTTGTGATAGGCCAAATGGTAAAACTGTATAATGGTACCATTTTCCTAAAACTCGGAAACCTAAGAATCTTTGGGCATCCTTTCTCATCATTATATGATGATAACCCTCTTTTAGGTCCCAAGTAATCACATACCATGCCTTTCCGATAGTTCGGATCATACCACCAAGACCTTCTAAACGGACTGTTTTTTCTGGCAGAATTGCGTTTAATCGTCTTAAATCGATAACTAGCCTCCATTTCTTTGGACCCTTTTTGGGAACCAAGAAAATAGGGCTTACTTCTAATAAGAACTCGGGACGATTTGTTTGTTCTCCTAGATAGCAAATTGCTAAGGTTTTTAGAAGGCGTTCTAATTCTTTCTGAATCCATTGAGTTTGCTCCTTTGATAGTAAATATTGATGTGGATCTGGGTTTGCTGCTAAAACTAATACTCCTCTTGGCCATAGTGGCACACCATTCGTTAACCAATCTAGTACTACAGGAGAGGGCTTTATCTTTTGTTTCCAATATTGTAAAACTACTTTCTGTTGAATTTTTCCTACAACCGAAACTAATTTCTTTACTTCTGATAACTTGATTTCTATTAAACTCATTGATTTGGGCCGAGTGTAGTCAATCTTGTTTTTGTGTTCTAGAAAAAGACTTGGCATTGGCTGATGGGCAGTTTGTTGCGATATGTCCAAGACCTCCGCAGTTAAAGCAGGTAATTCCTTTGGGATAATCTGAAGATCTAAAATCTTCTTTATCTCGAAAGGAATACATCTTTTTACTCTTCTTACTTTTCTGAAAGAATCTTTTATTATCGGATTCTGAAGAAGAAGAGTCATAAAATCTATCTCTTTTCCTCTTATATTGGTATCTATTGTATCGATTCTTGTAACCCCAGTTATTATATTTCTGAAAGGTAGCAGGTTGGCTAGAGACTGGAATCCGATCCTTATATTTCTCCATCATCTTGTCATTACTTCCTACAATTTGCAGTGCTGCTTTCCAGCCCTTTTCATTCGCAAGTCTTAGCATTACTGCTCTAGACTCCATTTCATTTCTAATACAGCTAAAATCCTTTTGCAAATTAATAGGTAATAATTTGATAGCTTTATCTAAATGTCTGCCCATCTTGGCAAGAAAATCATATTCATGTTGGTCTCTAGCTTTAGAGAGTTTAACTGCAGGCCATGCTTCATTCAGTGATTCACCTTGCTCAATCTGTTTATGCAACGCCAAAAGGTTTTTATCCATCTTCTTTTCTAAGTTTCTTAGAGCTGACAGGAACATGTCAACAGGCGCAGATTCGGGGAGATATTCTTGCTCCTGGTTTTGTAATCTTTCAGCAAATGTATCTCTGATGTTATCATCTGCTACTTGTGAGCTTAACTCAATATAATCCTGGTCCAATTCGGTAATTCCTTCTCTTCCAAACCTTCTATTGTCAGCATTATTAAATTCGTTACCAGTCCCTTCTGCATCGACATACAGATCATTACTCATTTCTCTAGCTGCGAATTCAGACTCAGGCTGTTTACCCCTTTTCTTTTCAAAATAGCTATGGAGTCTTTCTCCTAACTCCTCCTTATTCCCTTCTGAAGATAACCCACAAGTTAAACACAATTCTTTCAACTCAACCGAAGTTAATTTGCTCCAACTAACGAAAGACATTTGAATAATACAATTGTGATGTGTATCTTTATTTATTTAAATGCTTTATTTAAAAACTTATTTATTTTATTATTTTTTGTTTATTACAGTAATTTGACGAAAGAGCCAGCCTAGTACTATAAGGCGGGCAATAGCGAAGCCAAAACTAACGATCCTAACATTCGCTCATAATTTTAAATACCTATCACAACAATCAGGTATTGACTTAACTCTAACCCGCTTATACATATAGACTGCACAAGGTCCTTCACATGCCAGTTCGTGAAAAACTTCTCATAACTTACCCCTTTCATATGCGTTGTACTTCGATTAAAACCTTCCATTTTAACTATACTCATTAGACGCGCTCCTACCCTGTATCACTTTACCATAAAAGGATACAATTTCCCAGTTCTGCACATGACATGAGATCTTCTGATCTCGCAATAATGCTAGCCATGTCACTTCGTTGACAAGCTAGACAGATCGATCATTTTTTAAATTTTGCTGATAAAAATCCGATCATGTAGTTTTTGATTTACTTAGTTGAATTACCACCCAGTACTGCATGTACATCTAAGTCGATTAAAGCTATTTCCTGCAGATAACCGGGTAGCATTATAGCCGAATATTGTGGCTGCGCGACATAGAGGTTGGAACCGGTTTTAATATTTCGGGTTTATCACATGAATTGTGTTATTTTAGAATTTATTAAAATTTAATTGGATAAATTTCAAAAATATCCCAAAATTCACGGGATAACCCCGAATTATTAAAACCAGTTCCAACCTCTAGTGCGACATTGTCGCACAAAACCAAGAACGAAATAAATAGTTGTCCGGAGTGAAGCATAACTTTGATGACTGGATTACGATTTGATACATTTATAAAAAAAGTGGCTTCGGCATTTTCTGTTTGTACGCCCCTGAAAATGCGATCGAGGGCAGTCACATGATCTTACGACTAAAACAACTACCCCAAAATCATTTACGTTTCACGGGATTTATTCGCCACAAATTAATCAAATATTTTTTATCACTAATATTTTTAATAAATAAAAATAGTATGATAATCTAATATATAATAAAGATTATTTTAATAGTAAAGACTCAAGTTATAAAATTTTTTTTTAATCGATTCTAATTTGGTTAAAAAATTTCAGATGTTTAAATATATGGGATGCCAACATATATAAAAATCAAAAAATTGTCAAATGCGTATTAGCTGAAAAAGAAAATTCAAATTGGTATAGAGTATTTAAAACTAAATAGAAATAGCTAGACAATAAAATATCTGTAAACAATCAATAATTAACTAATATTGAATGATGAACTTGTAGTTACGTATTATATTTCTTAACAAATTATTTTGGTTATATTGTTACAGGCAGAAAAAACTGTAATAGATTGTGACCCAAATATTGTATATGTACAATTAACTTCACAATGATGAAACATGCATAATTACTTAGATAATCACAACAAGGTTTATGTACCCAAATTGAATATAATATAATATTTTGAAGTAGCAGTATTCAGGTACAAATAGGTGAGTTAACATAATTATATTAAAATAAAATAAAATAACCAAATAAAACAAAATATTTATCTAGTCAAATAAAACTTATTGTATAATTAGAGAGTTATAATTCGGGAATAAAATAGAAGAGAAATCTAAAAATAAACAAAATTAGTTAGTAATAATAAATATATATAAAATCAAACAAAAAAATTTAATAAAATACTTATTTTTTATATTCACTATTTACAAATTAGAATATCAAATACCTTTAAAGTTGTTAATTTATAGTTTAAGTTGTAGTAGTTAGTTAGAGTATTTATTAAATAAAAACTCAAAATATATTAATAAAAATAAACTTACATTTACTAAACATAATCATATCTTGAAACCTTATTATACTAAAATTGTATTGTTATGTGAGGTCTTGTGTATTGTAATAACAGATACATCAATTTACTTACTTTAATATAAGCATTTAGGATTTTATAAAAAAATAATTTTTATACAATTTTTTAATAATATATATGAAAAGAAATAATTCTAAACTATTTTTATTTATTAACAAAAGACTAAAAATACTAAAAATAAAAGATAATCTAGAATCTTTAATTTTATTTTTTATTAATTATACAGTTTAAAAAAATTAACTAAAGAATATAAAGTTTCTAATATATTTTTAATTAATTAATTATTATAACTCAAAAAACATTAAAAAACTCAAAAATAAATAAAATATTAAGTAAACTAAAATATTTAAAAAACTTTAATATAATTAATACTATAATATAAAATTAAAAACTATTATTAAAAAAATTATGCTATAAACATAGGTCTGATATATATATAATATATAATATTTAATATTATAATATAAATACATTTTATCTTTTTTATTTTAGTTAATAGTATCTATTTTTAATTTTATTATGCTATTTTAGTAAACAAATATTATTATTTTTATATTAAAATAGAAAATAAACAAACTATAAATATATAAAAAATGTTTTTTTTATAGACTATATATACAAAAAATTTAAATAATTATTTTTTTTATTAATATATTTGTTTATATGTTTTAAATTTTTATTAAAATATAATAAAAAATTATATATATAATAATTAAATAAACTAATAAACAGAATACATTCTAGTATTTTATACAGCTATGCAAACTATATCTAAAACAATAAATAAATCTATATAAAACAATATAAATACTATTTTTATTTTTAATATATACTTTAATTACTACTAAAATAAATATAATTTATACTAATTTTTTAAAACAAACCATTTATTTTAATTGTTTAAATCTGTTACATTTAATAAATTTATTAAATAATTAGATTTAAATTATTTTTTAATCTAATAAAGATATTTATAAATTTCAAAAAAAAACAAAAACATATATTTATACAAAAATTACAAAACAAAAATTATTAAATTAAATTATTGTAGATTTAATTCTTTATAAAATACATATTTATCTACTATTACTAACTATTTTTGAATAAATAATACTTGATACAAACTTTATTTTTTTTTATACTAAAAATATCAAAATTTATAAATAGCTTAATTAATTAACTTCTTAATATATTTATTTATATATATATTATAAAAAGATACAAAATAAATTTTAAACAATAAGTTGAAAAGGCTTTTGCATTTTTAATAATCTGAATATTAAAAATAGGGTTTTATAATTTATTATATGATGCAATATATTGCACACTAATTTTACTATATGAATATTATCAATTTCACATAACAAACATTTTTATCAAAGCAAAAAATAAATATTAAAGCTAGTATTAAGATTTGAAATAAATCAAAAGCATAAAATATATTAAAAAAATTTTTATAAAAAAAATTTTTTTTTGAAGTGACAATCTTGCCTATGTATTTTTTATTAAGTAACATATAATTATATACTTTTATATACAATAGTCTATTAATAAAAGTATAACTAGTTATATATATAACTTCAGTCATTATCTAATTAAGGATCTTATCCATAGGTTACCCACTAAATGCTATAAGTCTCCTATTTAAACTTTCTGATTTTCAACATATATATACAGTGTTTACATTATCATTATAGTAACATATCAGGTTAAGGCTATCTAGTTACTATTTATATCAAAATACTACCTTATTGGATGCTACTGAGTATTCATAGCTCTTGATTTACTTTTGACACAAGCTTACTAAACTGATATTAAGATTACTACTTAGATTCAGTTTAATATAACCTGTATTTACTAAATCAGTTTTTTAATGCCAGAGGCATTCAAATTTTAGTAAGTCTATTTCTTTTCTGTAGCTTTCTTTTTATATTCATTGTATTATCTGCTAGTGCACCTTCTCTCTATTTTTGGTATGTTCACTGCATCTCTTACATCAAGTACTAAATCTCTATATTAGGAAACTTTTTCTAAGAACTTCCTTGTATACTGATCTTCTATTTACATAGACTTAGCCACAGAGCTTTGCATATATTCATATGCTTCTGTAGATTATAAAGTTTTTGTCTCCAGCTAGAATTGAATTATTGATCTTGTCTGTGAAGAGAAAGGTGCCTAGACCACTAGGCTATGAAAGCCTATTCTTTTTATGAAAAAATTTTTATTAGAACTTCAAAAGTAGTTTATAGACAAATTTTTAAATAATATAAAAAGTGCAATATGTTGCATATGCAATAAATTATAAGATTCTTAAAAATATTATAAAAACAAAAATTATTAAAAAAAGTAATTAGAACTAACAAAAATCATATAGTGAAATTTAATTGAAGAAAAGACAAAACATAAATCCAAAAGTATAAATGTTACAAAGCCTTATTCAAACTTTTAAAACTAAAAAATTTATAATTATATAGAAAAATACAATATAGAATAGCTTTTTTAAAAATATATAAAAAAATTATTGTGAAGTAGTAACCAACTAGGAAAAGACAAATATAATTAGCTTAATAAATAAAAACCAAAATAAAAATATATCAAAAAATAGTATAACTAGCAGACTGATATATGAGGCAAATAAAGAAAATATAAAGATAATCAAAGCTGATTTATAAAAGAAAAAAAAATAAAAAGAAAATATAGAGTTTATAATTAAATTTAGTTGTTAGTTTTATAAAAAAAAAATATAATCATTTTTTTATAGCTCTAGCTAGCTTGGTATAGTTTTCTAATCAAATTGAGTTCTAGCCAGTATGGAAAATTATTTCTAAGTACTTATATAAACAGCTAAACAATATTAAACCAGAATTTAAGCCAACTTTGCATAAGATATATATATATAAATTTTAATAAAAATAATTAGCAAGACTGTCAAAGTGTTAAAAAAGAAAAAAGCCAAAATAAGTGTAATAATTTAGTAAAATAAATAAGTTGTCAAATTTTCAAATAACAAATTATAAGTTCAAAATTTACTAACAACAAAAATTTGAATTTTTATCTGTATTATGTTAATAATTTTCTGATTATTAAATTAAT